GATGATGATGTGGTGAAGAATGATATGATGATGATGATGATGATGAGTTAACAAATAAGAATGCAAGCAGATACGTTTATCCATTTTGATTCCTGGGATCACAGCGTCACAGTTAGCTAACCACTGAAACTCCCGGACTAGTTTTTGAACTAACAAATGACTAATTGTGTGTCCTATGTTTACTTTTCAGCTTCAACCATGCCGACATCAGCAACAGCCAGTATCCTCTACCCTGGTGATTTGAGAAAACCCAAGCGGATTCGGACCGCATTCTCACCACAACAGTTATTTCAGTTGGAAAATATGTTTGAGCAAAATCACTATATTGTCGGGCAAGAAAGGAAGGATTTGGCTTCTAGTTTGGGCTTGACCGAGACACAGGTTAGTAGTTTTTGCACTCTTCTCTAGATCACCCGTTTGACACGTAGGTAGAGCATAATCAAGTAAAATTTATGACCCGGGACAAGTTACAGAGCTCACACAAACCAGTGTCCATCTAATTATAATAAGTTGCATTTTGCTATCACTTGTGTAGCACATCTGGTAAACTGTCACTGTGGCCGTTTCTTCCTTAATTAGTAGCAAGCCGTACATAAATATGTTGGCAGATGTTCAAGAGATCTCCCGTACCAGATAATGCCAGGTAGCCAGTGTAGGAAAATAATCTGCCTAGGGAGCGAAATCGTGATTGTATATGTCGACAATAAGGGGTCAGATGTTCTTAATAAAGACAAGCGATATCGCACCATCAGTGGTCTAGAAGAACGGAGAGATGAGTATCAGTGTATGTGGCAGCACGGAAGAAAATCAGTAGACGTTTTAGGTCTACTTATGATATCCTATTACCCGCCTTACAAGAGACACCAGAATAAGGTGGAAGCAAGTCTCATCAGAAGAGATAAGTTGCACTTCAAAATAATGCCAACGGCTGGCTATCTTGAATGCCACAAAAAAGGCTGATTCAGAGTTACGACCGTCTTTGTTTGTTTGTTCCTTCAAAAAGAAACTGTCAGACCCTGTGCTTTTTACGGGTGTAGAATGACATTCAGGTAGGCGTGAGGTTTTAGAATGATTTTAGAAACAGCCCATTCCCCGTTTCAACATTTTGCAACGACTACAGTTTTTACAGTTTTTCGGAAGCCTAAAGTTCATAATGAATTTAGCGGTCTTGATCATATAGTTTTTGCAGAAGCAGTGATCGAGAGGAATTTCTGTGGAGGAAGCAAACGCTTGGTGAATTGCTACACTCTACGATTGTTTGACTTCAACTTACTGGACAAGTTTCACGGATGAATAACTGAAATCTAGTAACACCGTAACGAAAAAATCACCTTCGGATGGGATAAAACTTCTGTTATGTGTCTGACAACCAATACCATTGTCATATCATTTCTGTGCTGAAATAATGCTTTTTCATATGCAGGGTTTTTTGTCAGGAAGTGGCTCCGAAATTTGTAGCCGGATATGCGGGGATCATACCAACAACAAAAGGAGGATATCTTGTTTGTGAAGAAAGACAACCAGATGTTCTTTATTATTTAACAGGAGAACACCAAGTAAAGTTGTCGCTTTGAATTTTACCACGTTCCACCCAAACGAGACAGCTACACAGACAGTTAGAGAATACATTCTGGGTGACCTCATACCATGTGTCTGGAAAAGTTCGTAACAAACTCTCGTTTTGTTTTTCTCAGGTAAAGGTGTGGTTTCAAAATCGAAGAACAAAGTTTAAGAGAGTACGTCTTGATGACAAGGACGAAGCTGAGGAAAATGCTCAGCATAGTACGGACGCTGAGCTGCCTTCGCCTACACAATCTGTCGACGATAAACTGTATGGAAGAAAACGTCACGCAACAAATTTAATTCAAGAGAAATCGCTCCAGACCTGTCCTCTTGTGAAAGAGGCTTCGAAACTTTCAGGGGCAGATTCTTCACCAGAAAAAGAAACCACATTTAGACCGGCCGCCCCTATTTCTGGCGGTAAGTTGAATCTTCATCACAGGGCTTCATCACATACAATATCCTAACTAGATGACCGATCTCAGCTTCACGAGCCTCACTCACCACGATTATCTGAAAAGAACTGCAACTGCATGACTATTCTCTTCTGTGGACCAATGTGATAAAGTACGCGTCTAGTAACTCAATTTTTCATCATTTCCACTAGCATGGTTCAAGAGGTTTATGAAGCACACATCATGAGCTCTTGCCAACGATGTGTATTTTTTACCGTAATTATACACTATAACCACCACGGACAAATACACGCGTCCAAGCATTGCCAACTTTTGCAAAGCCTCGAAAACGGTCCATTGCAATACGTTTCACATGTTGACAGATTTGTAGCCAACTTCTTGAAGATCAACTTACAAAGCTTGAATGACAAAACGTAGTAACAATTGAATTTCTGAAGGGTCGTGCATTAAGGAGTGGAACCAAGGCGTAAAATCCGACAAGCCTCAAAGACATCGCATAAAATATCAAGTAAACCACAGAAACTCACGCAATAGTGGAAAACCCGAAATGTGTACTTGATAGACATTTTTAAAGCCCAAGGACGAGCTGATAGTTGAAGGGGTTATTAACAGCAAACTCACTGGAAAGAATAAATTAAACAATTTTAAATCTGTTTGTGAAATGAAATCACGGGAACCAAGCAAAGGAAAACATTATACGAACACCCATTAATAGTGGTTTGAAATTAGAAAGCTACAGGCCTCAGATTATTTCAGGGTTAGCAGTCGATGAGACTTATGTCAAACTGATGCGTGGGTCATGTTGCAGGTCAGATTACCGTTACAGGTCGTCATCCAGGGTAAAGGAAAGAAATTGCTGTCAAAGCTACTGGTAGCTAGACTCCCAACAGGGGCTGCTAAACTTTGAAATAATCACACCAATAAGATTGCCAAAAACCCCCCAAACATTCTCCGGGCCCGATTTCCCAAAGACAGTTCCGGAGATACCAACTCCAGAAAACCGTGTTGTTAGCGTCAACCGCAACTGATTCGAAGTTTCTGTTCAACGATGTAAATACATTCATGTTAGTAAATCAGGTGGAATTATAGTTTAGTACTTTGGTACAATTACTGACAACCCTTCCTATCCATCTGAAGGTAATTAATCATCTGGCTCCCCAAAAGTACCCACACTCAGCTTCTTGTTGAGAAAGAATTTTATGGGTAGGTGGATGATGGTGGAAAAGTTTGCAGGAATTTGGAAAGAGCACAAAGTGACAAAGCTTGAATAACTGAGATGAGGACAAGGGTGATCGGCTTCCCGAATGCTATTTCGGAGTTCACGCACTCGTGCAAACACATCGGTTTCATGCGATCCTAGTACAAATATATGTTGCCTGGGATTTTCGTTAAACGAACTCGATGGAGTGTTTCTTATGTTGAATGTGTCCTGCTTATTTTGATAATCCAAACGGTTTTGAAACGTTTTGCTGGCTTAATCTAGTTTAGTTTCATAAAACTGTGGCCAAATAGCATTCCGATCACATTCAATCACAAAGTATAGGCGAATGGAAAACTTGTCAGGTCAGCAGTTTGTCTTCATACTTTAGGTGATATCCATTGCAAAGTGGGATGAACCGAGGGCAAGCAATCAAACAACGCAAAGAAAATTAGGCAACTGACGGCAAGAAATGGCAAATTGATCGGCGGGCAGTAAAAAACATCAGTTTTTATGAAACCAAAAGGCTCTTGAAACTTCAATATTATCCACTTTTTACAGCAAATTTTTTTGCAGAATGTAGTTGGGCCATTGAATGAAAGAAAGATTGCACATGAGGACAGTTGCGTGGTACTTCATTTGCTTATCACTGGAGCTCTCAGGGGATACCGACTCTCAAGTCTGCTCACCTCTCAGTACGACTTTTTCCCGTTTTTAGGTATTTTGTCGTTTATGGCCTTTGAACTTCTGTATTACCTAAGGAAATAAAATGGACAAATTCAGCATTCGGCCGACTAAGCATACCTTAGCGCAGACACATGGTTTGAATTTCATCTTTTTCTGAATTACTTAGGCCACGTGCTTCGTAATGTATAACTTTATTGGGACAAAAACCCTATCAAACATGTTTCATTTTTTGGATGGTCCCCAGGCGTGAGACCAAACACTTTCACATTTTTCGAGGCTTTGTTAATCGACCGACGCAATGCAGTGTGAACATTAAGATTAAGCATACGTTTCACGTGAACCACACTTAAGACTTTCCAGTTTTCGAAAAGTGGGGAATAAGTAATGATTCTTATGAAGCTTCAGCGATAACAATCGATCGCGTCACACCAGAATAGAATGCTGAATTTGAAGAGGACTTAAGACAACGGGTGAAATACTGGTTATCGTCTCAACAACTCTTTCTGTGCCTAGGACTGTGACATTAAATAAGAATTAATACACAGCCACGTGCATACACACAAAACGTCAGCACCTGAAGGGGCATGCAGACCAAACCGGACTAATTAGTGAAGGCAAATGAAAATGAAAACTTTGCGGTGGGAAATGTGATGAGAGGCGTGAAAAGCGGTGAGAAAGTTTTGATCAGAGAGAATGGAGGGAAAGGAAGGGGACAGGACAAGGTACCGTGCATTCCAGGCACATTTCAAAATCATCGGGCACTTGGTGGCCGACACAAGCGACCAACCGGGAAATTGTTGAGCTATGCGTATGTCCGGCTGACTTTGTTCCAGCACTGTACACGCCTTTAGTCACATAATCGTATCTGTGAGAATTGGTCGATTTAGGCCCTTGCTTATCAGATAGGAGTGGCGTACAAGTTGTAAAGGCCGCGCTATTCAGACGTAAGTTTATTCTGATTGGGTCGTCCCTTCTATATGTACTCATGTATATACTCTCAATCTTTATCTGACCGAATTTTGGAAGTGTAGGCACCTCCAGTGTCTGTTGTAGACCAGTCCGAGGTCAAATAAATTGTCCTGCCTATAAAGCAGTGAAGCACTGGTGTTCCGATCCGACGTTGTTGCCAGCCAAGATGATGATAGGCACCAAGGTTGTACACTCTTTCGGAATAGAGGTTTTCACTACATTCTGATAAGTATAGAACTACGCTAATTTTGCCGTCATTAGGAAATACGCTCATTTTTAAAGCTGTCAGACTTAGATAATGTCACATAGCAGAACCTTTCACAGGTTTAGGGATTTTCGAGCCTTCCTAGGACCGTAATTCATACGTGCCTCAAAGGCCACGATGGGTGGCGAATGAGTGATGTACGGTATTAAGACGCTAGATACACCAGCTGTGACTTAAACTATGAACAGCAGCTTCAGACTTCGGTGTCAGTTACTGTTATTGTCAGTGTTGGTGTTCGAACTTCACTGATGTCACCTTTCACGGATACAAATTCTAATAGTGTGGGATGGGTATTTTAACAGCACTCAAGTGAGATTAACCGGTGAAAATTGGGTACATTTTGGTCACATCCCTTCGACGTGATTAAGTGAGCTTTCTTTTGAAGTCAGTGATATCCAGGATAATTTTGCGGGGAATATGTGTACTCGAGAGACATTCCAAGTCCCCATCCAAGTAGGATGTACTCAGGAACGATAGCCGTGGGCCCCAGAAGTTGGAAATATTTCAGCACGTTTGTTAAGAAGGATAAAAAGCGAGGCAGTTGTGTAGTCTCCAAATATCCTCATATTCACGTACGTTGTATGATGAGAAGTGGTTGAACGCATCAGATGTGGTCATAAGAACCTGTGTATACTACTAACATTCATTCCGATTGTTATATCATTGAGCTGTTCCTCATGGATAGACGTGATAATTCCAGTGCTGCTATCGTGTGCTAGTCGAATACTGGTAATATGCTTGCCTCGGATTTATGATGTAGGGAGTTTAAACCCCGACATCAATGAGGATATACACCACTGATGAGCACCAATAAGAGGAAAGCTCGAGTTCACTACCTTCAAATCTGGTTCGGCCTCGCGTAAAGAAGATCGTCAGGACAGGAGGAAACTGTTCCTAGGTGGGGCAAGTGAATCTGTATTCCACAGACCCCCAGCCAACTATAACGCATCTGTAGGAGTAAACAGTTTGTGTGCGTGCATCCAACTGTCTTGACACCAACAGCCAACAGATTGTGATGTTTAAGTTGCAATACTGGTTGTCGTGTTGTTTGGTCACCTGATCCGCACCGTGGCAACCTTTGTCGCTTGCTCATACACGCGACTACCGTTTGGGTCAGTTTGGCGGCATGAGTTGCACACACAGTAGCACGTTTATCAAACAAGCAGTTCATGATCACGCCAGCATTAAAACAGAATCACACAAAAAGGGGGCATATCCACGTGCATGAATCTGATTGGGAAATCAACAAAAGAAATTGCACAGTGTCCTCGTTTACCCTGACGACATGATTAAGATATGGACCGGAGTGTTCACCAAGCGCGTCAGTGCTCTCAAACTTGATGAAGAGCTAATCTACTGCTAAGCTTTGTTCAGGTTGCCAAAACTTGTTCCAGAAGTGGTGAGGAAAGCGTTGAATTACGAAGTGGTGTAATTGAGTGAAATCTTTGATCACCATAGATTAAACCAAGAAGATGAAAACCCCCTTCAAATGCAGGATTTCCAGATCCAGAATTATAGAAATCAGTGAAGCACCCACAGGAAGCCAGAATGCCTACATGCACACTGCCGACTAAAAATTGCATCGTGAGGTAATTTTAGTTGAGTCAGATTTATGGATTTCATTGATACTTTTGAGCACGCTGGATCCACTGTTTTTCGACTAACTAAAGCCCAGGCAATTTCTGCGGCAATCAGTTTTAATTTTTGTAGCCCTTTCCCGTTGAATTCTTGCAAAACATGAGGTGCGGATCGATGTACGCACAATGTGTGCTAGAGTGAAGAAAATACACGTGTAGGTTCCGACCGACTGCCGCTTGTGAGATTTCCAAAACCGATCTAAATCTCTGTCGAAACTGTCTAAGCTAAGACTCTGAAAAATACAATCAGTTGCATACCAGCCTGATTTTTATAGGAGATTCACTTGAAACCGGA